GAATTCCTGTGGATTTAATCATCAGCTTTATGCAAATGATTCTCATATTTGTCTCCTGAACTTCAGTCTTACATCTCTAAATACCTGTTGAACATCTCAAATTGGATGCTCCATAGATGTCTTATATTTAACATGTCCAAAACTGAACTCATTATTTTCCCCACCCTCTTCCCTCAGAAAGAAAGAAAAATACCACCCCTCTTCCTAACTTCCTTATTACTGTTGAGGGTACCACTATCTTCCTAGTCACTCACTCAGGTCCTCAACCTAGATGCCTTTGACTTCTCATTCCCTCCCAACCTCTGCCAATCTGTTGTCAAGTCCTATTAATTCTATATTTGCAACATCTTTTGTGTGCATGCTTCTCTCTTTTGCTGCTGTTGCAACCTTTGTATCCTCATACTCTGATGTCAGTTCTATTGCAATAATAATTTATTTGGTCTTCCTGTGTTTAGTTTCTCTCCATTGTAATTCCATTATACCACACTTATTGGCAAACATCACATGATTCTACTACAGACCTAATAAATACTCAATCTATTGTAATATGTTATTTGTAGAGGATTCTGAGAAGATGGCAGAGTAGGTCAGAAAATTCCAAGCTCTCCAGATTTCCCCTGCAAAGAAGACAAAATAGCACCTCAGGGTGAATGTAGAGCAGTAAAAACAAACAAGAATTGGGGCAGAACAGTGGTCCTCCTGGACAACTGGACAAGGTCTGAAGAAAAATCATAGGTCCAAAGGTTGGTCCTTGTGAAGTGTAAATCACCTTTAGGCTAGTTCTTTGAAACAGCAAGTGTGAGCCCTGGGGCTAGCTGTGTTGGAAGGTAGCCTGGGCTCCAGCCACAGGAATTTTTATCTCCCGGACAGTGTATGGACAGTGTGAAGAGTCAGGTGTCTGAAGTGGGGAGTGGGAAGATTGAAGGAATCTCTGTTGATATGGGACATCATGCCCAGCCATGCTGCCAAGATGTGGCTCTGGGCAAAAAGAAACCAGCACATGCCTGGTGAGTGCAGAAGCAATGGGGCATGGATGCCACTGGCTTTGGATACTTACAGTAGGGTAGAATTCTTGTTTTCAGTTCCAGGCCAGAAGGGATAACTGAAGGAGGATCTGAGGCCAGAAGCACCATCCCCTATACCAAAGAACTAGAGATGATTACAATAATAAGCTGTTATAAATTTAAAAAAAAAACTGAGCAGGTGAAGGAGAAAGGACCCAACTATAGAAAGTTACTATGGCAATAGAGAAGACTAGGATTCATCTTCAGAGGAGTAAACTGAAGCAAAAAAAAGCCTCTTCTATCCCAAAGAGTGACCTCAAATGGTCTCAAATGAGAGAGATTGAGGGAAATTTTTTTAAAAATACGAACAATCCAAGATAAAAAAGAACATTATGAAAAGAAAGCCAACCAACTAACTGGAAAAGGAGATCTAGAATCTTAAGGAAGAAAGTACTGCTTGAAAATGAGAATTGGACAAGGGGAAGCCAGTGAAGTCATAAGAGACCAAGAAATAATAAAATATAAAGGGTGAAAAAATGGAAGAGAACTTGAAACATCTCATAAGAAAAACAATTTATCTGGAGAACAGATCAAGGAGAGAACACATAAGAATGATCAGACTACCTGAAAGCCATGGTCAAAAAAAAAAAGAATCTTGATACAATAATACAGGAAATAATTAATGGAAATTTTCCTGAAGCATTAGAACAAGAGGGGAAAGTAGAAATAGAAAACAATCTACTGATCACCCCTGAAAGAGATCCTATGAGGAAAACCTATAGAAATATCACAGTCAAAATTTGAAAACCCCAACTCAAGGAGAAAATATTATGAGCAACAAGAAAAAAAAACAGTTTACTTATGGCAGAGCTACAGTTAGAATCACATAAAACCCAGGAGCAGGGACACTAAAAGACCACAAGTCTTGGAACAATATATATCAAAAAACAAAAGAACTGGAGTTGCATTTGAAAATACCATACCAAGCAAAGTTATGCCTAATCTTGAATGAAAAAAATGGATATTCAATGAATTGCCAGACTTTCAGGCTTTTGTTACAAAAAAGGGACTCAATAAGGACAGACTGTTTACATTTTAAATGAAGAAATATAAAATGTATGTTTAAGATTATTATTAGTAATTGGGTAGTTTGAAAGAAAGATTGGGGTAGACCTGGGTATGATGTGATTCTAAAAAGTAACCACTTAGGAAAAGGTAAAAAGAGTAATTGTCTTATACAAATGAGGTGTGAGAGGAAGAACTGACAGAGAAATTAGATAGGGGAGGAGGGCTAGTAGTTCTGGAACCCTGCTCTCATTGGGAGTGGGTGAAAGAGGGAACAGTACATATATATCTAGAAAGTTATAAAGGTTTTCTAAATTCAGAATAAAAGGTTAAGAGGATGGGGTGGGGAGAGTATAAGGGGGGAATTTTTAGAGGGAACCCTACTCACATCAGATCTGGGTTAAAGAGAAAACAACATATACATTTAGAAGGGAATAAAAGTCTTATAAGTTTATAAAGAAATAAGAAGGAGATGGGGGGTATATAAGGGTGTTTAGATTAATGGTAATAGGAGGACAAAGGAGAGGTCTTTGAAGGGGGTGTAGGTTAAGTAATAGCAGGGCAAGGTAGCAGGTAGAAGTAAAGTAGAGGAATCAGGAGGGATAGGTAATAAGAGGTATCAGGAGGGATAGGAAATAAGAGATAAACACAAACATAAAATAAAGATCAGAAGTAGAATTTATTAGGAAAAAAAGAAGGGGTAGTAATTATAATCTCAGACAAAGTTAAAGTTAAAAATAGATTTAGTCAAAAGAGAAAAATAGGGAAACTACACTATATATCAGCCATATTAACCAATACTGTTTTGGACTATTTAAAATAACTAGACAGTATAAGGTTGGAATATTGCTATGGTGTAGGAAATGATGAGTTGGTGGACCTAGAAAAATATGGAAAGACTGGGACATATGAAGGATGATGTTGTCCACCCTAAGAAAAACAGAAGACAAATAAGTATAATGTGGTCTTACATAGATGAACATATACATTTGTGTATAAGTATGATTAAAGATACCTAAGTATATGTATGTGTATATAAGTGTGTGTATGTATATATATATATATATGTACTTATATATATGTACATATATATGTACTTATATATATGTGTGTATATGTATATATCTATATGTATATCTATATATCTATATGTATATCTATATGTATATATATGTGTGTGTATGTATGTGTATGTGTATATATATAAATATATATATATATATATATACATATATATATATATTCATGCTTAATTGCAGCTTTTTTGGGGGGAGGGGAGGATGGGGGAAGAAGTAAAAAGTGCACAGCAGAGAACAAAAGAAAACTTACAAGGAAGCAAAGAAAAGATGGATACCTCTAAACACAATACATGGTATTTATTGTATAGACTTTCTTGAAATGGAATTTATTGCTGTATGTTTTGAATCCTCTTACATTCTGCTGTGCACATAACAATACTTTTATTTCATTTCTTATTTTGTATTTAAGTTTTTAATAATCAAATGTATAACATGTTTTTTTCTTTTCTTATTGTATATTTAAGTTCGAGTATTTAAGTATAAAATAAATTAATTTAAAAATATGGTATTTGTAGAGAAATTTTAAATAGTCTTAATAATAACAGTTGTCAGGATGAAATGTCTCGACTCTGTTTCCAAAGGATTTCCTTTTCATTTCTTTCCAAAGCTTTGCTTTTTAAAAAATATTTCATTTTGTGGAACATATTTATCAGTAATCCCAAGATCACAGTCAGCCACAAAAAAGGAAATGAAAAGTCAAATAGGTTCATTTTTGTTTCCCTAAACAATTTATCAACAACAGTAATAATATGTGCATGCACACATTTGTAGTGAAATTCCATTAACATCAGTGGATTAATTTTTTTTCCTGATTACCACTGCTTATACTTTGTTTTCTTTTTACATGGTAGGTTTCCTTATTTCTTGAAGTATTTTGTGTGTGTGTGTAATATGATGTTCATCCTTTGTTTTCAAAGAGGACCAGTGATATCGTGGGTGATGTCTTGACTTCCGTGTGAATTGCATTTAAGTGAGGCAGAGTTGTACAAAGTTGTCAGCCTCATTCTCTCTTCCTGAGTCATCAAAGTCTGGTGCCAAGACAAAAGTCAAGATGGTTGGTGATGACTCAGGATGCTGTGGATGACCTTGGCATCTTTCATGTCTGACCAAGCACTCAGCATTCCATAGTTTCTGCTTCATCCACCTTCATGGCTATTGGAACAAATTTTTTTTGCCTTCCCATTCCCAAGAGGAAAGTCTTCACATGCTTAGGGTAGACATTCCCTAACTCACCAACAGGTGTGATGCCTGTAGGTTACCCTCAGCCTGTTTTAGCCTATCTACTGAGATGGTTTACCAGGGTATGGGTACTGTGCATGCTACAGCTTCTTAGAGCCACAGCCAAAAGGTGAAGTTGGATGAAGGTAGACACCAAAGGTGGGTGAGTAGCCCTGACAAGGGCTCAGCAAGCCCTCCCATTAAAGGGCTAGTCCTCCTGAAAGTCATGATCAAAGAAAGAACCTAGACATCATCTGCCAAGAAAGTATCAAGAAAGACTGCCCCTTCAGAAGATATTCTGGAACCAGAGGGTAAAATAGAAATTGAAAGAATCCACTGATCACACATACTTCACTGAAAGTTAGGTAATTTCATTAACATCTGTAGATATTAAAATTTTAGACAAATTAAAATTTTGGATAAGTCATTTATATTAATAAAATCAGGTATGCAATAACTGCTATTGTATTATATTCAGTATATTAAACACATCAGGTTTTAGAATATAGGCAGTATTAAGGAAGAAATATATCCTTAGTTATTAGCTAAAAAATCCTCGGTATGTGTAGAATTTTTATGGCATCTTTTTTCTATATTGCATGACTTAATATTTAATAATCTTACTCTTTTTTAGGGTTTCTCAAAATCAAGTTGGACAACACTTTACTTTTGTGCTAACAGATATTGAAAGTAAACAGAGATTTGGATTTTGTCGTTTAACATCAGGAGGCAAAATTTGCTTATGCATCCTTAGGTGAGTACTTGCAGTGAAGCAGTTATACTACTAGTCATGCTATTTTTTTCTGATTTACATTATGTTTATTTAAACAATTCATAGCATATCTCATTGAGAATTGAAAAACACGGCTATGAAACAAAATGTTAGTTTGTTTTTTCCCCTGTGCACAAGTTTGAAATCACTGAAAGAGCGATGAAAGTTCATAAATGTAATTTAGGCTCTTTCTCTTCTTACTATTCAAGAGCAATGAAACTTCATAAATGTAATTTAGGCTCTTTCTCTTCTTCCTATTCAATTCTAGAATCAACTCTATATAGTTTGCATTCAGCTGACTATCATATTCTTGACAATAACCATCATCCATTAGGCTTGCTCTATGTGGATAATTAAGCTGAACTCTTTTGAATTATTATGGATCTCACATAGGAGGCTTTGCATTATCCACAGGGGCCTATAGGGAGCCCCTCCTCAATTTGTACCTTGTCAAGGCTGTGCTTCCTTGATCTTGGTAAACAGCTTTGGCGAGCGTTAGTCTCCCTGTTTTATGCCTAGCTTAATAATGACAAATGTTAACCATACAAACTTATTTTTGCTCTTGTATCCACAAATGAATTGTTTGTAATCTTTACAGGTACATGGGAAATATCTGCTTGAGAAAAGTATCTTAGACTTCATTTTACTCTACTCGTTCAAATGCTTTTTTCATAGTCCCCACAATTTAAGCACATTGGGATCTTGTGTCATCTCCTTTCAGCCAATTTTATGACTAAAAAATGTAGCCTTCTGTGGAATGGCATTTATAAAAACTTACCTTTTCTCTTCTCATATTTTCACTAAGGATGTCTTATAGAAACCAGTCTTATAAAGTCTATGATGCTGAAAAAGTAAACATATCAAAACAGGAATTCTATATTGTTGTTCTCTCCTCATTCATACAGTAATGCAATGATCCTCGCAATCATTTAATATTCATTTCTTTCAGATATCTTGAGAACTTATCCCTCAGTGCAGTGCTCCTTATGTTATATTATCTCTAGTACAGTCCTTATCAGTATAGTTTTGGGTTTGTATTTTAGTATTATTTCCACGTATTTAGTATTATTTCCACTTCTTTATGTTTCAAATCAGAACTCATTGGTGGAAAAAGCACTTATTTATAAAAATCTTGACAGCTAATTTGTTTATTGTCTGCCTTTCAGTTTCATCCTTAAATGTTCTGAGGATGATATGGACCAGTAACTTTCTGTAGATGCACCTTTTTATGAAACAGAAGTCTCTAAGAAATCAAACCTGGGTTTTGCAAACCCAGGAATGGGAGGACACATTGTTAGTATAAATAATTTTTAGCCTCTTACCAAAATTACCATTCCTGTGACTTTTTTAACCAAAACATCACTGTCTTATATATGTTATATTCTATTCCAAGAATATAAGCTCTTTGAGGGCTGGGACTTATTTATTTTTAGTATTTTTATCCCTAGTACTTAGTAAAGTGTCTGGAACATAGTAAACACTTAATAAATACTTTTAAATCAAATGATCAATTATGTGCACAAAATGGAGTCAAATGTTACCAAAAAATTGTATGACTGGGCCACTAATGTAACAAGAATGATGGGTGAGAGATGCAAATCCTGCTTTTTGCATTGGTACCTATGTAATGTCATGAGACTGTGAAAGTAGCATATTGGGTGAACCTCCTGTGAAGACTGATAGGAGAACTTGAACAAGGATTGCATGGGATGAAAACCTGTGGATGAGTTATGATCCGTACCATTCTTTTCTAGACCTATACTCTTTGGTTCAGCTTCCTCTGGCTGCCTTCCCTGTTAGTTCCCTGTCCCCTTAAGATTGCTTTTCAGGTGTATTTGGGTTTCTGCTTACTGTCTCCTCAGGGTTGCATCCCAAATTTTTTTTTCTTCCCCGGGTGTAGTCTTGCTTGAGGAAGTGTCTCACCAAAGTCCCACTCTCACGTACTTGTCTATATGCTATTATTTTGTAGCCCTTAATACCAGAAACAATCTGGGTACCAGAATTCTAGTTATGAACTTATCAGTCAAAGATAACTCTTAGAGTTGGCAGCTTGCAACTTGAAAATAGTAGTATCATCAATTAAAATGAAGAAACCAGTAAGAAAAAGTAGGTTTTAGGGGAAAGATGAAAGGTTTAATTTTATTTGTAATAAGTATGGAGCATAATCTACCCAGTAGACAGTTGGAATTATAGGCCATGTGCTTAGGAAATGTTTAGACTTGCAGTACAGCGAGGAGGAAGCTAAGGAGAGAAACTCACAAAATATGAATATTTTTGAGGAAAAGAAAGAAGAATAAAACCCAGGATTTGAGAAAAAGAAGTTAGAGAGATGGGAAAAATAATAGAGGTTCTGTATTGAGGAGTTAGAAAATACAAAAAACATTCTGAGTTACATAGAAGTGAACAGACTGAAGACTGAGAAAAAGGCCAGTGGATTCATTAATTAGTATGTCATTGATGACCTTTGAAAAAATCATTTTAGAGTAGTGATAGGGAAGGAAACCAAATTGCCAGGCCTTTAGGAGCATGTAGATGGTTTCCTCAGTAACTCTGTGAAACTGAGGATCATTAAGTGTAGGCAAAGAGGTAACAAATCTATTGCTTTTTTACAAGTATAATGGTCTATTTAGAGAAACTTAAAATTCAACTAGAATTACTTAAAACAATAACCTTATTACAGTTGAGGAATATGAAATAAACACACACAATTTATCAGCTTTGATGATATACAAAAAGAAACATACTAGCATAATGTTTGGTGAAGCCCAAAACTCCAGCTACTCTGTGTCTCATTTTGCATGTCAAATCCTTTGCTACTATGTTAGGAGTTCAGTAGCATATATCATCATCCAGTCCCTCATGGTTAGTCAATTCCACTGATCAAAAATGTTGATTTTCATAGCTTTTTTGTCTTTAAAATGTTGTTGTAGTTGTGTAATTCTTTCTCCTTGCTCAGCTTACTTCACTTTGCATTAGTTCATACAAGTCTTCCCAATTTTCTTTGGACCCATCATTTATTTCATTTCTTATGGAAAGCTAAGGCTTCTAAAAGACAGGTAAGAAGGCAGTGCATTCTAGATATGGGAAAGTGCTGAGAAACAGGAGCTAGAATGTGTTGGTCAGTAAGTAGTCCAGTTTGTCTGAAAGAAAGTTATATTTAATAATCCTGAAGAGGCAGTTTAGAACAAGGTAGTGAAGGACCTTACATTCCAAAGGAAGTAGTTTGTATTTTATTCTAGAGATTATAGGAATTCACTGAAGCTTTTTGAGTAGTAGAATGATGCGGTCAGTCCTTTTCTTTAGCAATATTACTTTGGTAGGTGTATGGAGGATGGATTTAAGAGGGGAGAGACAGAAGGCAGGGATATCAATTAGGATTCCATTGGAATAGTTTAACTTAGAGGTAATGAGAACATGAACTAAAGGCCAAACTAATGGACTTCTACTCCATCCTTATCCATCTTAACCTTTGCAGCATTTGACAGTGTTGACCGCCTTCTTGTCCTAGGTACTCTCTCTTTTGGATTTTTATGCCATTGTTCTCTACTGGTTGAACTCTTACTTCTCTGCCTACTTCTCAGTCAGTCTCCTTTCTCTTTTGCTGGTCATTCATCCATGTTCCATCCATTAACTCTGGCTACTAAGACTCTGTCCTAAACTCTCTTTTCTTTTCCCTCTCTACCCTCCTGATGATCTCACCAGTCAGTCAGTCAACAAACATTTATTAAGTATCTACTATGTGCTAAGTACTGTGATGAATGATGGGAGTTCAAAGAAAGGCAAAAACCATGTCAGCTCTCAAAGAGTTCATTCTAATGGAAGAGACAAATAGAAACAACTATGTACTCACATATGCACCATACAAATGGGTACACGCATGCACACATGTATATGTGGTACACACATGTATATGTGGTTTTGTTTCCAATACCTATTTCCTGACTATAAATTGTCACTGACTGACCCCCACATACCTGAAACGCCCTTCCTCCTAACTCTGCCTCCTAGCTTCCTTGGCTTCCCTTAGATTCTTACCTTTGTCAAGAAGCCTTTACCAGTCCCATTTAATGTTGGTGCCCTCTCAGTTCTACCTCTCACCCCCAGACACTAAGAAAGGAATGGTCAGATAAGTACAGAGAAAAAAGTATCGCAAATAACCTTTGTGGAAGATAGTATCATAAAGAGGGTTGTTGACAGTGTCAGAGGCTGCAGAAAAGTCTAGAATGATGAGGATTGAGAAAAGGTCATTAGATTTCTCAATTGAGAGGTCATTAGTAACTTTGAAGAGAGCACTTTCAGTTGAATGAAGGATGGTATTTGAGGATGGAGACATAGATATTTTTGTAGGCATCAGAGAAGTAGACAGTAGACAGGAAGAGATTATTGGTGAAACAGTGGGAATGATAAAGCAGGCAGTCTACTGGAGAAGCTGGAATGGAATCACATAGAAAGGCTTTCTTTGGCAAGGAGAAGGACTGTTTCTTTATGTGAAACAAGGGTAAAGGAGATAGTAGGGGAAGATGTTTAAGAGAGGAGAGATGCAGAGGAGGGGAGAAGAAGGAGGAGTTATTGTTGATTGAACTCAGTTTTTTTTAAATGAAATATGTGGCAGGGTTCTCAGAAAAACCTGGAAAGATTTATATGAACTGGTGTTGAGTGAAGTGAGCACAACCAGGAGAACATTGTACCCAGCAATATTGTAAGGTGATCAGCTATGAATGACTTAGCTTTCCTCAGCAATACAGTGATCCAAGACAATTTTTAAGGACTCATGATGAAAAATGCTATCCACCTTCAGAGAAAGAACTGATGGAGGCTGAATGCACATCAAAGCATACTTTTTAAAAAATCATTTATTTTTCTTTTTTTTTTTTTGGTCTGTTTTCCCATATAACATGACTAACATGGAAATATGTTTTGCATGACTGCACATGTATAATCTATATCAAATTGCTTGCATTCTCAATGAAGGGGGAGTCCAG